CTGGGTCTGCATCCTCATCGATATCATCTTCGCCACCTTCGTTCTCGGTGGCTCTTGGGCGCCCCCCTCGGGCTTCTTCAATGACACCCACAGATGCACCCACGTCAGGCATGGCCGCTGTGATCTCCGATCCTTCCGCCTCTTTTGCCTTCTTCTTAAATTCGATCTTTATCAACTTCTCCAACAGCGGAAGGAACATCCTCTCAAAGCATCGGCGAACATCATCCCGCTTGATCGCGTACTCCTCTTCATACTCCTCGGGATCATACAGATCCACCAAGATGTCGTAGATCTTCTCGTGTTCGAAGCCTGTACCGCCACCAGTTCGCTCAGAGACGGCCATGTCGCTGATGACATGAGATAGCGGCAATCTACTGATACTCTTGGCAAAGCGTTCTCCCTCCGCGCCGCTAAGTTCCTTGATGGGCTTCAGAGTCATGGTTGGAGTCATGATTTTCGGGGTAGCTGTCATGATGATCTCGCGGAGGCGAGGAATACCCAGGGTCACGTTCTTTGCCGAATGGCCGGCCAAATGGAAGGTGTTCAGCGTCATCTGGGTAGAAGGCTCTCCGACTGACTGTGCTGCGACCACTCCAACCGCCTCCCCAGCTTCGACAATCGACCTCATGTATTTTAGATCCATGAGAGTCTGAAATGTCTTCCTGGTGACGATGCCATTGGGATTGGTCTTCTTGTCTCTGATCAGTTTGCGGGGGTTCTCCTTTACATATGCACCCAATTCGGTTGCAAAGGACTCTGAAGTACTTCCAAAATGACTGCCCGGGCTGTACGAAGCTGTCAATGGGTCTCTGGGTCTGCCTCTCTTGACAGATTTCAAAATATCCTTCTGCTCCTGCGCCAGGTCTAGTTCTGGGTTCCGAAGGCGCGGAAATGACTCCTCGGCGTTGATGAGGGATGCCACGGAGCTGTGATTCTCTGCAAGGAACGTGAATTCCTTCAAGACTTTCTGCTTTGGGACCTCAAGACCGTCTTCTCCATACAGAAACTGGATTATGCTGCCGTTGGAACTCTCTCGAACGGACGTATCGTACTCAGTCCGAAGTCCTTCGAGACCCTTGACGATGCAGCGTTGTAGGTAACCTGACTTGGATGTCTTTACAGCAGTATCAATAAGACCCTCTCTGCCAGACATGGCGTGAAAGAAGTACTCTTGGGGTTTGATGCCAGTCAAAAATCGGCCGGACACATAACCACCAGCCACTGGATCTGTTTCAAACGCTCGGAAAGAGGGGAGTGTCTTCCCACTGACCATGACCGGAACTCTTCGACCTTCCAAAACCTGCTGACCCAAATTGCAGGAGATCAGGTTTGCGTTGACGCTCGAACCCTTGGCTCCAGAAATGGTCATGGCTTGCATCTGATTCCACGGAAATGGTTTTCGAAGACCAGCTGGCAAGCAAGCTTTGGTGACGGCGTCGGTAATGGTTTTGACTTTAGCTTTGTACAGCTGGTCGAGTCCATTGAGCTGGTCGTCATTGCGGAGCACGTTTTGCAGCCGGCTCAAGAGCTCGGGGTTTTCTTCGTCGATCTCGCCGGTCTTCAGGGTCACATATTCGGTCGAAACTTCGAGGCCAATGCGCTTGGCTTTGCTAAGTTCCTGACGCCGTTGGTTATCGCCTTGGAGTGTCAGGTACAGATCATCCATTCCACAGGTCCAGGCGCGCTCATTGAGATACCTCGTGAGTAATCGGCCCAATATACTCAACAGTCTGCCTGCAATGATATGCCCATAAAGCTCATGCGTGGAGTGTACAAGTCCACCTGCGCTGGGGCCGAGTTGGGACTTATCGAGAATGCCAGAAAGATGTTCGCCATCTTTGAAGATGACCACTTGCTCCGTATCCCGGAAGACTATAGTGTCGCTAGTCACAGTCCACTGGTTTGGATCGTCCGAGGTCTTCTCGCCCCATGAATCTGAGGCTGTTGATGATTTGCTGGTAAGATTGAGACCTCGAAATCTTTCTGGGACAATGTTCTTCAAAACAGTAGTGATCACTTGCTTACCACTCCAAAGCCTCTTCGGCTTTAAGACTGCGGGCGGTATCATCTGAATCTTTTCGAATATGGTGTGGTTGTCCTCTGGCCTGATGCAGTTGTAGAGCAGTTGCTGATACTGATCTTGGTCGAAAAACACGTCTCGACTGGTGAATTGAACACCCATTGAAATATGGTCCTGAATCAAACCACGTAAAGGCTTGCCAGCTGTAGCGGAGAGATACTGATGATCCGTATCTGCGATCTGGAGAGCTTCCGTCCGCGCGAGCTCGTTTTGTGGGAAGTGCATGTTCATCTCGTCACCGTCAAAGTCAGCGTTGTACGTGTTGCAGTTCGCATAGTGCATGCGAATTGTTTTCTGGTTGTGCAAAACGCGTGCACGGTGACCCATCATGGAGGGCTTGTGTAGCGTGGGCTGACGATTCATGACAACCACATCACCTGTTTGAAGATGCCGGTAGACCTTCTTGCCGTTCTCGCCCTTGGCGCCGGGAGCCGTCGAGGTCATCAACTGCTTTGCTAGGGCCTTTCTTTGCTCGAGGGTCTTGCGCTTCAGGCTGAGAACCATGCCGTTCTCATTTTCGATGGCTGCCGCTCCCGGGTACTTCTCCATGCCGTTGATTACTGCTTTACTCATTTGCTCAAAATTGTGGCTGGTCACAGGTTCGGGATAAGTGAGTTTCCTTGCAAAGACCAGTGGGACGCCAATCTCATTGGTTTCAATGTTGGGATCAGGCGATATCACACTGCGAGCAGCGAAATTGACACGCTTTCCCATCATGTGCATTCGAAAAAGACCTTCTTTCTTCTCCAGGATCTGCTTCACGCCCTGGTCGGTTGGCCTGCCGGAAGCCGGTGCTGGAGAATCGATGAGTGCGTTCACTGTTTCTTGTAGAACAATCGCCGCCTGGAGACTTTCATTCAAGGTCCTTGGCCGAGCATTGGGGTCGGTCTTGGCTCGCCTTGACTCGCGTGAGATCCGTCGGACATCGTTGGCGGCTTTGATTATTTTGTTCAGGACCGTGTTCAGCTGATTCTCGAGTATTTGATTCGGCCCTTGCCTGGCCAATGGACGATATCGATTCGGCGGTACAAGGACTGCGGTGATGAAGAACATATCTGGAGACACCCGACCAGGCTTCCGACCAGGCCGAGACCCGTACAGCAAGCCGAGAACCGCCTGCTCACGGTCAAAGAGTAGACTGAGCGCGGCGTGTACTTCTGTAGTCGTCATATATGTCTGCATATCGTCTTCTTGGTCTTCGAGGGCGACAGTCTTCGAGTGGGCTGCTGTCTGCAACGCATTGCGCAAGGCAATCTCGTCCTCAGCACCGTGCACCTCGGTCTCTTCTGCTTGCTCGGAATCCTGCATTTCCACATCATCATCATCATCATGCACCCCATTTACACCATTTGGCATTGGCGGCTTTTTAACTTCCTCTTTCTGCCGCTGTTCGGCTCTGAGGAACAAGAGAGGGTTGGCAGCTTTCCTTCCCAAGACTGACATGGCCTCTTTTTGCTTCTTCGCGAGTGGCATTCGGAAGATCTTCACGCTTCTGTCCTTTCTATATGTGGTGTTGGCACCGCCGCACCTGGCGCATTTCTTCAAGTTGGGCACCTCCTTCATAAACGCTGTAATGACATCCTTGCGGGCGGCGATGGCAACAGGATTCCGAATGAGGGCTTGCGGATCAACCAATCCTTTTCGCGTAGCCCTTCTTATAGCCTTGGCCGTCAACTCCGTCCTTCGCTCAATGAAATCGTGGATCTCTTCTAATGGCTCGTTTTCTAGTATTTGTTCCACAATGTCGTCGGGGTGATCGGTTTTCTTCGGCGTCCTCGGCAACCCACCTCGAAGACGAAGGTCTCGAATCTTGTGGTATTCATCGACAAGGCCGAGCTCCAGCAGCTGTAGGAAACATATAGTTTGATTGATGAAGTTTTCGGAGGCTTTGAAGTGATGGCAGTAGGCGCACTTTGCACGTAGCAGACGCAGCGTAGACTCGATGTATTGTTGGTGATAACAAGTGACAGGCAGCTCAATATGGCCGCAATGACCGGTGCAATGAATAGCATTCATGCGACATGTCGAACAGCTATAGGTGTCAGCCCCGAATCAGCACCAAGAATACAAGGTTCTCACTTTGCATCCAACGCTTGAATTGCGCCCAGCGCCGGATCATGAAGGCCTCCTGGTATCGGACCAAACATGGAATCTAATGCCGGGGTGACATGAATGCGCTTGACTGAGATCTTGCGGACCTCGTCTGATTGAAGCCGAGAAAAGGCGAGGCCACCGGTCGCCGAGGGAATTGGTTTGACGTATCCTGCCATTGCGCATCAATGCCATGACCCAGTGACAGTAAGAAACCGACGACGATGTCGAGGGAGCAGAGTTGCAACGGTCCTGGATTTGTCGAGCAAGTGCGTCTGCGGGGACTGCAGCGACTTTTTTTGCGACAAATTTTTGGAGCGAGTCAAGCGCAGAGCTGTTGGAGTTGCCTCCGAGTCAGCCGACTCCTGGTTGGCGGACTCAAACCACGTGATCTACTCCGTACTTGAGCAGTTGCGTTGGTGAAGCAAGAAGCACATATAGCACATTCTCCTACGGCAAAGCTTTATTACCACGGTGAAGAACTTACTCCTTTCCCACTCACCCACCACCTCATCGTCCGTGTCTCTGGTCTCTTGACCGTGATCTCCCACTACCGGGTACATACCCATCGAGAATGGAGAAGCTTCTCTCGCGACCTACATGCATGTCACTCCTTGGCCTGCGCTATTGTTCCAGGTTTCGGCCATTCTGACCGAGTAACGCGAATACGCAGTGCTTATCCGAAGCGAATTTTCTAATTCAGGAATTCTTGCTGCCTGGACCATATACCATATTATATTCATCAGTCCCCACGACTCTATAATGCCCGCCCAATTCCACGAAATTATGTCAATATGAACCCTCCAGAAATCTTTGTAACAAGAGCAACATGATCAGCATTAATTTGTCCTGGAAGGATGCCCCAACGAGTCGCATCGTGCATCTAATCCAAGTCTTTCTGCAGTTCCTCGCAGCTATCATTGTCATTGGCCTCAATGCCTCAGATATAGCAGATGATCCCACAAACACCGGCATCTCAGTAAGTGCCTCGAGTTGACCGCGATCCGTGGCAGTGCCTGAACTGGTACGTCAACAGGTTCTCGCCATCGTCATCGCCACATTATCAACAGTGACAACCATCCTGTTTGCGCTCGACATTTTCTACCCAATTCCAAGTCGTCTGTGGCTACTATGGGTCCTATTCTGGGAGTGGGTCTTGGCATTCTCTTGGGTCGGTGTGGTTGCCGCCTTTGGGGACCGATATTTCCAGAACCACACGACTCGCTTCCACGTTGCCGCCGGGTTCAATGTTGTCAATCTGATCCTATGGTTGCTGGGCTCGGTGTACGGTACCATATTGATGTGTTGCAGGAAGAAACTGGGTGGCAAGAGGCCTCCTGACGACGTCGAGCTGAAATGAATGCATCTAAGCTCTCGAACCGCAGGGCGCCGAGGCCAGTTCTGAGCTGGTCGAGTGCATGTGATATATGGATGCACCGCTCACGCTGTCGAAACTTTACGAGGGTAATAATCATGGCAACAATAAACAGCACGGCCAATGGTAAATTGAAATGAATCAGTAAAGGTCTGCCGAAGATCCCACTCCCAGAATGGCCGACTGTCACAGCTTCTCGGATGCGCAGCCTGAGCCATGCCTGCCTGAAGAAGTCGCTTCGAATTGCGCCTTGCGATACGAGTGAGATCAGGGACGGAGTCAGCACAGTCAATCTGCCACGGCCCACCTTTTGTTCTGAAGGAGGAGATGGCTGGATGAAGGGCGCAAGAGCATTAAGCTTGCGTGATTGCATTGACATGGTACGCATCACGCTATGTCCTCTACCACGCTAAGACGATAGTCAGATGGTAGTCGGATAGAAAACGAACCTAATTACAGAATAGTCACAGACTTGAATGTCGACTGAGGTCTTAACAAGGGAGTATTCCGTACGCCGTAATTAATTACCTTGAAATTTCTGCTCATGCACTCCAGAATCTAGACACCTCTGTGCACTTACACAGAATCACGTCAGATGCCTTCGCGCGGAGCCAGATACGGCGCACTATTGCGGTGAATGATGCTGGCTCGCACAGCGTTAGACATTCACGACGAAGGTGCGTTGCGGCGTGGCATCACCGGGTAAGGCGTCCCATGCCATGCTCATGCCATTCGGCTGCCATGGATCCGACAGGATAACTGGATTATGGGCACACTTTTTGTAAATGCGTCATGCTCTTGTTAAACCCCACGGTCCATCGCGGTATCTGGGATCATTAGTATCGCGGAAAGGAGACGCTCTCCTGCCACTGAAGAAGGTAGTATTATTGCTCAGGTTGGTGTCAGCAATAGCTTTATCTGACCAGGATGGACTGGAAAGAGTGCACTTCTGGGCCTGTCTACAGCCACCCTTTCCTGCTTGCGCCATTATTTCTCTTCACATACCTAATAACCCTGTCACTATACCGTCTCTACTTCAGCCCACTTGCGAAGTTTCCTGGTCCCCGCCTCGCAGGTAGGGAGCCCTTTCTCGAGACAGGGCATCAAGATCGGCCTCCTCTGACTCTTAGCAACTAGCTCTCTCGTCCTGGTATGCGGGCTATCATGATCTGGTTCGCGGCGGCAAATATGTCTGGGTTGTCGAGGAAATGCATCGCAAATATGGTAATGCGACAGCGCCGCCAGCCGTGCAGCATGGTTTGACGCGCAACAGGGCCTGTGGTTCGAGTAAGACCCGATGCTCTGCACTTCAATGACCCAAACTTCATCGAAGAGATCTACGCGCAGTCCCCGAAACGTCGGCGTGAGCGATATAAGACGGTCGTGCAGAATTTGCAAGCTCCCGGGTCGATGCTCGCCACAACTGACCACGACTTTCACCGTAAACGGAGGTCTGTTCTCAACCCCTATTTCTCGCAACAAAATGTCCGGCGTCTGGAGCCTGTTATCAACGACACGCTATCTGCACTTCTGGATCGCATGAACGGTTGGGGCAAGACCGGCGTGCCGATCCAAATGAGCGTCGCTTTCCGAGCAGCGACCAAGGATATCATCCAGGCTTATGCATTCGGAGAGGGTAAGAAGTGTCTGGACATGGAGGATTGCAACGCCGCCTTCTTTGACATCATGACGCCCCAGAGAGTCTGTCATCTCGGCACTTACGTGTACTGGCTGGCCTATATCATGGCGAACCTGCCGCCCTCCATCACGATATCCCTTGTCCCTCGCGTCGCCGTCTTTGCAAGGTTCATCGAGGTAGGACGCTGGTGCCTCTAGCTTTGGGCAGAGCGACTGACTATTTAAAGGGACTCGCAGATCAGATCGAACACATCAAGGCCGCAAAGGAACTATCTGAAGGTCGTACGATATTTCACGAAATCATAAGAAGCGACATTCCTGAATCGGAGAAGCAAACCCGGCGACTTGTAGATGAGGCTATGGTGATTGTTGTCGCTGGATCCGAAACCACTGCATCGACTCTCGCTGCCATCATGTATCATTTGCTTGCAGATCGGGAGCTTCTGAATAGGCTGAAAATTGAACTGGAAGCTGCTATTCCCAACCCCAAGCAGCTACCGGTCGCTTCGAGGCTGGACGGCCTTCCGCTCCTGAACGCCGTCATCCAGGAGGCAATCCGACTCTATCCAGGAGCCACCCATCGGCAAGATCGCACCTGTCCGGACGAAGACTTGGTCTACGAGTGTCCAGACGGACGACAATACGTAATACCGAAAGGTACTGCTGTGGGGATGACAGCGCCAATCATCAACCGCCACCCGGAACTCTACGAGCGTCCGAATCAGTTCCTCCCCGATCGATATATCCAGAACCCCGAGCTGAAGAAGTATAACATGTCGTTCTCGAAGGGCGGGAGACAATGCATCGGCATCAACCTGGCGTACCAGGAACTCCAGACGTTTACAGCTGGGATCTTTCGCCGTTACAGTCTCTACGATCCAGACAAGGGTGTGCAGGATGGACCGACGCTGGAGTTATTCGAGACCAGACGAGAAGACGTTTCCATGGATGCAGACTATGTCACGCCAGCACCATACGAGGGTAGCCATGGCCTCCGCGTACGCATCCGTGCTTGAAATGGGGTGGTCCTCACGCGTGGTGTCGGCGATGAGTTGGCCCAGACCAGCAGTCCATGTAGGCATCTGGAGTACTAGCTACCGAAATTGATACCCATTGTCCGATGACTTGCGTAATCGCGGTACTAGCCACGACGATGAAACGTGTATCCCAGGTGTTATCTGTGGAGCTATACACACCCGGAGGCTCTCCTGTTACTTGCATAGCAAAGATTGTAACAAAAGGCGCGTCGGGAAGTTCCTGGTGGTCTGCTGCCACGCCCCAATGCTGAAGGCGCGGCAGGAAGCCGTGAATGTTCGCGACCATTTCTATCCCCTGTACATGAAGATGCAATCATCCTGCTCGTAACCATATCTTGACAGAAAGGCTTGTGAGGCTTGTTCTGATGATGGTGGAGTTTGTGGCTTTATTCAAGCTTCAATATTCCGCTTTCGAATGCAGATCCTGTACATTTAAGCCTTCACCCCCCGATCATCTCAGCTCCGCTTCGATTGTCGTTCAGCGCGGGTTGACAGAAGAGACATCATGAACTAGCCATCCCCAGACCAGTGGATTATGTAGCTTTTGGTCAAGCTTCATCAAGCTTCAATGTCTCACTTTCGCGCACAGGTTCGCGGGTGTTAAACCTTCTCGCTCATCATCTTAGTCGCGTTTCACGTGTTACAGACCCCGAGTTGACATTGTTGACAGTTCATAGTTCGCCACCTAGCTGATCAGCTAACAGTCCGTCGTGTCCTGAAGCTTCCAACAGCACGGAGTCGACATTGCCCCCTGATCTCTCCTATCACACCACTGATGATAACTGGGTGGTTGGCATGAACGCCACTACAGCAATGAGTTCCCCAAAGTGGCGTTTGACTTACCACGGGGTTTATAGCCCTGGTGATCTCCCTTCAGAGCCAAGAGACAGTTGAACCTCGAGCTGTTGCCCGGTCTCCCTTCACAGCCAAGCGACAGTTGGATCTCGAACTGCGCCCGGGCCTCCCACCGGACCCTGCTGGCAGCAACATGTACTTCGTACCGGGCCTCTTCATCCTGGTGGCACTTTTGTCCTATAAAATCGCGTCAGTCATTATCCACCGACAACGGAACGCACGAAAAGCCGCGCGTCTGGGATGTGTACCACCTCCTACCGCCCCTCGAAAGGGCTTCCTTGGAATCGGCACCCTCAGGGAAAGCATCCGGGCAACGCGCGAGGACAGAGGGCCAATCTGGATGCATGAAAATCTAAACGCCATCGGCAAGACAGTCCACACGGTCAGGGCCGCCATCTTCGACTATGAATTGATCATCACGAGAGATACGCAAAACGTCAAGGCTATGTTCGCTGCGCAGTCGCAGGACTTTGACATTGGGCTACATCGGGAAAAATGCTTCAAGTCCCTGCTGGGTCCTGGGGTGATGACCAACCGACAAGAGAAATGGAGGCATTCAAGACGTCTTATTCAATCGCAGTTTGCCAGAGATAACGTCGCGGACCTCGACCTCTTCCAGAGACACCTGAACGCTCTATTGCGAAGGATGCCAGTATCCGAAGATGGCTGGACAGCGAAGGTCGATTTGTCTCCCTTATTCTACAGCTTCACCCTGGACACCTCGACGGAATTCTTGTTCGGCCAGTCGGTGCATACCCTGAGCCCTGAAGAGCGCCCGGGTATGCTATCATGGGATCCGAACGCCCCTGACCTTAGAGCTTTCGGATACCACTTGGACGAGGCCAAACACATTATCGACAGGAGAGGCGCTTTGGCCAAATACGGCTGGCTTCTGCGGGACAATTCCTTTCCCGATCACTGCAATGCTGTACAAGACTGCGTTGACTATTTTATCCGGAAGAGGCTTGATGGTAGCTGGGACGAGCGCAAAGTGGATGAAACGATGAATGGACGGCCGAAATTCATCCTTCTTGATGAACTTATAAGCAAGACCAAAGATCGTTACGAGTTGAGATGCGAGCTGCTGAATGTCCTCCACGCAGCAAGGGATACCACGGCATCACTGTTGGGCTGGTCATTCTACTTTCTGGCGCGACATGCCGACGTTTTTGCGAGACTGCGTAAAGAAGTGCTGGATTCCTTATCGGCCGACCCGAATGGCCAGATCACCTTTGCTCAGCTATGGTCTTGCAAGTACATGCAGTGGTTTCTGAATGAGATCATTCGCACGGTTGGCATCGTCCCAATGAACGAACGCGTGGCTGTCCGAGATACCACGCTGCCTTGCGGTGGTGGGCCTGATGGACAAAGCCCCGTGTTCGTGCCGAAAGGAACTCAGGTGCTCATCCCGACCTACTCAATGCAGCACCGTGAAGATATCTGGGGTGCTAGTGTCGACGAGTTCAAGCCGGAAAGATGGCAGGATCGCAGATTCGGGTGGGACTTCATTCCTTTCGGCGGAGGGGCTCGCCAATGCCTTGGACGTAAGTGCTGCTAACTTCGCTCCGAATGTGCCATGGCTAACTGCAAGGCAGAACAATTCGCCCGGACAGAAGCAATGTACACAATCTCGCGAATGCTGCAAGTGTTTGACAAGATCGAAAATATGGAAGGTCCAGGCCCGATCAAAATGCATCAGACGATTGAGAACAGGAGTGGAACAGGGACGCAGGTTCGTCTACACTTGGCTTCTTCCTCCTCCAAGAGCCCTTGCCACAGGGGAGGATCCGAGGGCGAACTGAGCTTGAGTGAGCCCTATGATCTTGGTTTGGGTGCTGAAAGAGGAGAGAAGCTGGTGTGAAAGTCGATGAAGCGGCAACTATATTTGTGTTAGTAGGTGCGCGACAGTTGTCTTTCAGCGTCATTTTCTGTGATCGTGCAGCAGGCTCTCTGCAATCTTCTTGGAACTCCTCGTCGCCGAGGGAATAATATTGCCTCTACCGGTCACCATTAGAACAATACGTGATAGTCAAAAGTGGTGTAAGCCTCATCTTAAACTGGGGGGACCGTCGAGCAAGGCTTCTATGTCTTGGCATTGACGTTTTCCTCCGCATCGCAGTCAGAATGCAAGTCTCAACTCTGCTTTGTGTACTTTCAACCACCTCCCATAACTGTGGCGAGCGCGACATAGGCTGCTCAGCTCGCGGATTCTGCTTACAGTGAGTCTATCCTCTCTCTCCGTCAGTCGATATGGCAGACAGGGCGAGCAATGTGCTGAAAAGGCTTCACCCGGAAGACGATGACCTCGACAGCCAGAAACGTGCGCGGTCCAACAATGGCTCTCCTCGTCCCACCACTCCGTCGGCCTCGTCGGCTCCGCCTGGAGCAAAACCAGACATGAGCGCAGCGATCGCGGCGGCCAGAGCGAGGGCCGCAGAGATCAAGGCCAAGATGGCAGCGAACAAAGTGGGAGCAGTGAGCTCACCTGCGCAGACAGCGGCTGCGGCACCGACCCCCCCGACAAGTGCTCTCGATCGCATTGCACAGCTAAAGGCTCGCGTGGCTGCTGCAACTGGTCAATCGGCGTCGCGTACCAATGCATCGTCCTACACTCCGCCAGTCTACGCCGAGGACGCATCAAAAGCACGAGGAGGGTTAAACATTGGTCTCCATCCGTCTCTGCTTGCGGATGCGCAGCAGGATGCGTCGAGGAGCCTGGGTCGCACACCTCAAGCCAAGTTTGCGACCGCAGCTGGAAACCGGAGGACAGAATCGCCGGCACCGTCAAAGGCACAGCTTGACATCTCGGGACCGTCGCTAGAAGAGCTCAGAGACAACCCTTACTTCGACGAAAGTCTCGGGGCTCGAAATGCGCCGGCCAAGGGTCGACAATCGCGGCAGCTGATTTTCAATCAGAAGGGCAAGTACATCCAGCAGGCTGCGGCGCTCCGACGCCAGGCCCAACTCGAGGCCATGAAGAAGAAGATTGCCGAACGAGCCAGGCAAGCTGGACTCGAAGAAGATCTCGACACGGAGAAAGCATTCCTGGTCCCGGCACCACCGGACTTGGAGTGGTGGGATGAAGGTCTGGTCAACGGCAAGAGCTACGACGCCATCTCCGATCCCGCAAACCTCAAGATTGACACTCCAGACAGCATCATCACGATCTACATCCAACATCCGGTGCTCATCGAACCGCCACAAGAGAAGAACAATCCAGCACCAAAGCCCATGTACCTGACCGCCAAGGAACAAGCCAAACTCCGGCGCCAACGACGCCGAGCCGAACTCCAAGAACAACAAGCAAAAGTCCGATTGGGTCTCGAGCCTCCTCCGCCACCGAAAGTGAAGAAGGGCAACCTGATGCGCGTGCTGGGTGAAGAAGCCGTCAAAGACCCCACCGCCGTAGAAGCCCGGGTCAACCGCGAGATCGCCGAACGGCACCAGAAACACGTCGAGGAGAACGAGAACCGCAAGCTCACAAAGGAGGAACGGGCCGAGAAACTGGCCAGACAACAAGCCGAAGATGCCGCCCGCGGCATCCACGTTCGGGTGTATAAGATTGACAGTCTCGCGAATGGCAAGCACAGATACCAAGTATCCATCAACGCCGAGCAGAACGCCCTCACGGGTGTATGCATCATGCATCCAAAGCTGAACGTCGTGGTCGTTGAGGGTGGCGAGCACAGTATTCGCAACTACGACAAGTTGATGCAGAACCGCATCCACTGGACCGAGATGGAAGCACCTCGCGCGGTCGAGGAAGGTAACCGCGAGGTCCTAGCCAAGTGGCTTGAGGCGTACGAAGAAGGCAGTCACGAGCTGAAGGATCTAAGTTTGAACAAGTGCGAATTGATATTCAAGGGCGAGGCCAAGCAGCGGAGCTTTCGGAAATGGCTGGGCGCGAGGGTATGCGAGACGGATGCACAAGCGAAGGATGTGTTGAGCCGGGCAAAGATGGAGAATTTCTGGGGACTAGCGAAGAGTTTCAAGAGGGATTTGTGATGCCAGTGAGCGGGATGAAGTAGAGGGAAGAGTAGGTAAGTATTGCATGTTTCTGCAATAGTCTACACTGGACGTGTTCCGGAACTCGAGGGGCTTGAGGGGGCTCAAACCAGTGTCAGGCTACGAGGCCCTGTCATGTACTGTATGTCACAATATATCATCCGGAGGCCTTTTGTCCGCCGCCGCAAGTCGAGTAGACTACAAGCATGCCCTCCGGCAGCATTGATCGATCCCGAGTGCCCTTCCCCTAACTACCTGCACAGGAATACCTCTGGCCACTCGGATGCCAATGTACTACGTATCGTTATGCTAAGCTACCTACCTTGAGCACCTAGGTACAGTAGAATCAAGGTGCGTCGAATGCGATGCAATGCGATGCAATGCGATGCAATGCCATACAACACCACGCAAAGCTCCGTAGGTAGATGTTAAGATGTGAGATGTGATGAGTGACGTGTGCAGTGATGCCCACGATCTCAGCCCAAAGTAGGTATGAAGCACACAGTTTTGCAGTCTGCAATTTGCAGTACGTACTCCCCCAAACAGCCATCTTGCCATCTAAGCGAGCGAGGGAGTTGGAATTCCCCATTGTGAGGGAATAGAAAGGCAGGAATTTATTTCGTTCAGTCATTCACTCACACGGCCACTCACTCCGGGTGCTGCGTATACGTCGATGGATGTACGCAAACATGAACAGTGCGAGATGACTCGAGCAGGAAGGAGTTACGAGGACGAGGACGAGCACGAGCACGAGCACCGAGGACGGAGTATCTTACAGGTATACACGGTACTCCGTACTGTATGACTGAACTCTGAAGGGAGACCTTGATCCCCCCTATCGCATGTTACTTCCTCGTCCAGAAAATCCTATATTTAAGCGTTGTTGCTGTCGCGGCGTTGTCGGGGAAAAGGTTTCGATGGTCATAGTTCTACGGCGTCGTCGTCACGTTTGGCGTGCGTTTCCCCAATACTTGTACTCAATAGAAGGGGATGTCTTCCTCTTATGTAGGGGGGTAATCGTTACAGCAAGGAGGACAGAGAACAGAGAACAGAGGACAGCAGTCGTTTTTAATATAGACTACGCGATCATGGAGATGCAGACTGTTACTTATGCATCCCGTACTGGCCGGTTGATTTGATGAGGCGCCCGTGGCAGACGAAGGGGGGTTGCTGGCTGCGCGTGTAATGGTGTATGTACTGTAGGTACTTTAAAGGTTGTCGACAAGTCATGTAGTGCAAAGTCAACGGGTACGGAGTACATTGTATGGTAGAGGGTACTTCTACTCATAAGGTAGACGTCTCATCCATCTCTGTTTTTGTCCTTTCATGCTGTGTTCGAGGACTGTACCTATGTATGTGAACTAGCCCAATGGTTCGTCTTTGAAGCGTGTTACTTGAGTACTGTATGTGCTCAGTCGTGTATGTGCTCAGTCCTGTACGTTCTCAGTCCTGTACAGAGTAGCGTGCTGAGTACCGACTGTACTGTACTGTACATTTATGTCGTTACTATATATTCATCTTTCAACTCCGAAGATCTACCACTTCATGCTTCCAAGTTTGGTGACTCGTACTCGTGCTGAGGGGGTATAAAGAATATTGACCCCAGCAGCAATCCAGTTACATAGGTGCGAGTCTCGGTCAGTCCGGTGTCGATGAATGGACTTCACTGATCCTTCGAGGTCATGAATATTTGGCAGGTCAAACAGAACACATATATTCAATCACAGTAGGATATCAACATGAAGAACCCTAAAGACATCATCCACCGTGCGACGATCACTCTATCTATCACCTTCACTTCATCCCGTGCCGTGCCGTGCCGTGCTGTGCTGTGTCGTGCGTGACTCCATTCGCCTTGCTACTTCTGAGCTCGAGTTTCTACCGTAGAACATCAGCAACATCCCTCGACGCTTTTTCCAGCACATCGATCGCGGTTGCAGTAGACACCATCGACCTCGCATCGTGGGCGCTCACATCTCGCCTCCTCGCTAAGCATTGAGCGTCGTCGCTGCATCCTTGATGATTGACGCGATCATATTCACCTGCTCTTGAGCTCCGTCCCAGTTACCCACATCAATCATGTCCCTCACGCCGGGGAACGTGGCATCGTCATAACCACTCCAAAGCTGGGGCGCAAACACCACGTGTTTGAACTGTGTTCGATTCACAAGCCCGCCACCTTCCCGTAAATCCAGAAGATAAGTCTCAAACTGTGCTAGGCGTTCGTTGTGTTGGATTCGAGCCGCTCCCATCGCGCTGGACTCGAAGCCGCCGGACCCAAAGACAAAATCCCGCCATGATTGGTCGAAGTTGTGGAATTGTTGAGATTGTTGAGACAGAAAGTCGGTGGCCTCTCGTAGGCTGTGGAGATCAAGGGATTGACCATCGGCTTGGACCTTGGCGTAGGCTTCCAGGTCGTCAATGTACTTCGCAAGAGCGGGGGCGTAAGATGTAACCTGGAACGAGAGGAGAGGTTTGTCGGCCAACTCGAGAATCAAAAGCGCCCAGATCTCGCCCATCGCTTTATGGTAATTCCAATCCGGATCACCATACCTTGCCATCCACTCGAAGTTATCGTAGCAAGAGTGATAGGGAAATTTGGCGCCTTTGAAGAACATGTCGATCGAGGCTGTGCCGACAATGTCTTGAAATGCAACAAAGTCACTGCCAGCGCCGAGGCCTTCAATTCCACGGCCCTGCTCGTCCCAAATCTCGCGGATGGATTTCCCTGTCGAGGGATCACTGACGTGGTTGATGACGTGCATCAATGGGTGCTCAAACAATGGAGAGGCCGAGGCGTGGAAGTCAGCGCCTATCACGCCGACGTCGACATTGAGGTAGGCAATCCCATCCTCG